TTTATTGGGTTTGTAGGGGAGGGTGTTTGTGGGCTGGAACAGCAGAGGGAGAGGTAATTTTGGTAGGGCTGCCTGGTCTTTGGAGGGACTTTCAATGTTAACAAAAGGAGAGTCTCAGTAGTTTTGAACCAGCTCAGGTTCAACGTACAACGTTGGATGGAATTGTTTCTGTGGTTTGACCCTGGCTCGGGGCCAAAAGGAAGTGAGCCTTGGAGTGAGGGTGAGGATCCTGACTTATCATTTGGACTCTGTTTGTTAGGAAAAAGAATGATAAAGTCATCTGGCTACTTCTAGCTGGCTGGGGGCAGTGAGGGGTCAGAGTCTGGGCATCAGGAGAAATCAGAGGAGGGTGTACAATAGTCTGTCAGGTCTTGTTAGAGTAGAGCCTGGTAGGAATAATCTGAGAGAAGCATTTGGTTAAAATTTTGAGCGTTAATCTGGTGACAGTATGGTGGATGAGGGGAATGAAGCAGGGAGGCTATCATGAACATAACAGCAAGCTCTGTGAAGGGTCCTAGAAATGGAGTGAACCAGCTGCCTGAGCTGCTGCCCCTCCTTTTTCTCTCTGCTGTTTGCCACCACCCTGAAAGTTTGCCTCCTGCCATGTGGTGCTCCGCCTTGGAGCCAACTGTGTATGCACTGAAATCCCCAGTAACTGTGAGCTAAATAAAGCTTACCTTCCCTAATTTTGAATGTCAGGTATTTGTCCCAGCAATGAGAGAAGAGCAACCAAGACAGCATGTTTACAGTAATCTTACCCAGAACCATTTATTAAAGAGGCTGTCTTTCCTCTAGCCTGTTTTGCCCATTGTCAAAGATCAGTGGTTGAATGTGCCTGGGGTTGTTTCTAGTTCCTCTGTTCTGTGTCACTTACCTACATGTCTGCTTCTGTCCCAGTACCATACTGTTTTTATCACTATAGCTTTGTAATATAGCTTAAGATCTGGGGGGAAAAAAGAAAAGAAATGGAGTGAGCCAAGGAAAGACACAGTTCCATATACTTTGTATGTCCCATCCCAGGGAGCCTCTTAGGGAAGTCCCAAGTCCTATATCTCCCAAGGTTGGCCCAAGGGGAGTTGTGCCTACCAGGAGGCCCACATGGGTGGCCCATTATATCCTATGGGATGTAAGATATGTGATATGAGTCTTTGTATATGTTGAAATTAGGGATCACAGTCACTGAAGTGCACTAGAGGTGTAACGGAAGGCAAGGAAAGACCAAGGTGCTACACATAAAGAGCTGTGTGCCCATTTTGAGATGTTTATCTGAAGGTGTGTTGAATGAAATGGGTTTGGTGTAAGGGAGACCAGTGGAGTTTCCCTGGGAACATGTAAGGTTGTAGGAAGAGGGGAGTTGTAAAAGAGATAGCAATGGCTAAAGACTTTTGGGAGGGGCGGCTGGTGTGTGTGTTGTTGGGTATGGCCAGGATGGCTATGAGATCAGGCCTTAGAATGCACATGTACAGCCAACACTTGGTGAGGTTGATGATCTGGGTTAGGAGAGCTATTGTGGGCGAGGAGGGTTGACAGGATGATGGTTTACGCCCATGTAGAAGCTAGTGCCATTTGTTTCAGTTAGGACAAGAAGACTGAGGAGGTGGCAAATGATGGGCTTGAGTCCCTTCTGATGTTTGGGAGCTATTGGGGATTGGGGAATGCAGGGAAAGACTGTAGGATCTCTGAGGCACATTAGTATAGGAATAGCATGTGTGGCATGAGTGGGACTGGAAGTGTCTCAGAGTGGGTGGTTGACAAGGGAAGAGGGAGGGAGGAGTTGGCTGTGCATTGAGGTTAGGATTATAGGATGAGCACTGTGGGGAGAGAGGTGAGAGAGACATGGAGCTTTTGGATGAGATCTCTCCCCATGAGAGGTATGGAGTAGTTGGGTTTACAAGGAAATTATGAGTGAAGAACAGTTTCTAGAGTTAGCAGGGAATCTGAAGGTATCCTGTAGATCAGACATCAACACCCACTATGGAGACTGTAAATCTAATACAGCAACTTTTGGATTCAGGAAGAACACTATATGTGGTACCTGTGTCAGCAAGAAAAGATCTCTCTCTCTCTCTCTCTCTCTCTCTCTCTCTCTCTCTCTCTCTCTCTCTCTCTTTTCAACCTGAGGTGTCCAGCAAGACTTGGGACTCTGACAAAGATACCTCGAT